TCATGGTGTGCACAACACCACGCTGACCTAGTCCACTGCACGGTTGGTTCAGTGCTGGAATTTCTATAGGAGCACTCCACGGTGCCAGATGGCTAAGGCCTGTCTGCAGGCCACAAGTTCCTTCCTGGATTGTTCTATAGTCATGGAAGGGTTAACTTATTGGGACTGGTAAAAGCTGACCCTAGTGTTCTTCTAAATTTCTTTTGTGTTCCACAGAAAAAATAAAAGCATACAGGTTTGGAACGACATGAGAGTATGTAAATTATGACAGAATTTTCATTTTTAGGTTAACTGTTCCTTTAATATAATGTGTTGCCTCATGTTGTCCTGTTGTGTGTGAGTTAAGCATATATGTATTTTATAAATAGATGAATATATTAAGTATCTGTCAAATAGCTTAATCAGAATACTGATTAACTGAATTGGTGCTGAATAAAAAATGCAGGGCTTTTAATCCATCATAAAACAATAATAAACATCATGAAGTTTCTGCATGGGCTATGTACACATGAGCAATAATGTATCTGAATACTGTTCAACTCAACACTACTGTCTAATGCAGTGATGGGCTAACTTGGCCCTTCCAGGCCACTTTCCTGCAGAGATGTGATCCAACCCTGATATGACTCACCTGCCTGTAGCCTTCTAGTAGTCTTGAAGACAATGATTAGCTGGTTCAGGTGTGTTTGATTAGGGTTGGAGTTACCCTCTGAAGGAAAGTGGCCTGGAAGGGCCAAGTTTGCCCACCCCTGGTCTAATGTGCAAGAGGTTTAAGTATGCAGTTGTGTAACATTTGTTTCATCAGATAAAATCATCAGTGTGTTAAACTCACAGCTGCTTCATACAGTCTGACTACACAACCGGCACAAACACTGAGTGTGATGGACACTGCATACGGCAGTTTTTCCACTTAGGCAGAGAATCTCCGGAATGTAAAATCACTTTTAAAATGTTGAATTAGTTTAAATGACCTTTTGCATGTGAATCTGTAATGACAATGTGCTTTTATTATGCGAGTTGTGAATTTTCTTTTGTATTCTTTTGTATGGAATTCACAACACAGACGTGTGTATATGCGCTTGAATTTTTGCGTGTAACATGCAAGTGTTGTTGTGATTGTCATGCTCTCCAGTAGTTGACATAAATGACACCTGTGACAATCGTTTTCTCCACACATTTTAAAGGCAAGCAAGATACATTCAGTACAGGACTTGTTTCTTCTTTGTTTCTTGTTGTTGGTTTTTTTTTTTCCCTTTTTCATTTTTTCTTGTTGCATGACAGTAAATTTAACATATTCAGGCAAAATTACCATATGAGGGAATGCACTAAATGTATATATAAATTAGTTCAGGTTAACTAATGATAGTTCAGTCTTGCTAATAATTATATGGATTAAAAAAAGTTCAGTCATTTCGATGCCTTTCCAACTTGCCAACTCGGGTACAATACTTACATAAATCATTGATCATTATAAATACAAAGAGACATTAGAACCAACCAGTGCTGTAGAGAGAATACAGAAGTGAACTTGAATTACCACTAAAGGGACTTGTGTTACCCCATTAAGAAGTGACCCAGGACCAGCTTGACTTTGTTTCTTGTTGTTGGTTTTTTTTTTTCCCTTTTTCATTTTTTCTTGTTGCATGACAGTAAATTTAACATATTCAGGCAAAATTACCATATGAGGGAATGCACTAAATGTATATATAAATTAGTTCAGGTTAACTAATGATAGTTCAGTCTTGCTAATAATTATATGGATTAAAAAAGTTCAGTCATTTCGATGCCTTTCCAACTTGCCAACTCAGGTACAATACTTACATAAATCATTGATCATTATAAATACAAAGAGACATTAGAACCAACCAGTGCTGTAGAGAGAATACAGAAGTGAACTTGAATTACCACTAAAGGGACTTGTGTTACCCCATTAAGAAGTGACCCAGGACCAGCTTGACCTTTCGACCTTTACTTTTAAATATGCTAAGAAAAGCAGCATAACTGATCTCAGAACTGTCAGTGCTCATTATTCTCTCCAATCCTCGCTCTGTTTAATAGAGTGAAGCTTAGCTGAAAAAATAGCAGTCTTGGATTTTTGAGAAGGCAAAAGTATTCCAATAAAAATTTAAAAATAATGAAATTTGAATTGTAATAAAAGCAGTGAATCTTGCTAGCTTTGCTGACCTAGGTCTGGGTTTATCCAATGCAACTCATATTACACATATTGTAAAATCGAACTTAGTTTAATATAAAGGGTTTAATTCTGTCTGTGCCTGTTTATTGTGCTGAACTAAATCTTTTTGTCTTTTTGTTTTTGCCTGGGTTCAGTAGAGTTAAAAGGATAGTTCACCATGTCAGTTACTGCAGAAAATTACTTGAGCTTATGTTTTAGTTTTTTTTTTGTTTTGTTTTTATAAACAAAAACTATTTACAGTAACGCACTTGCATTAATGGAAGTCTATGGGACAAGGCACTGTACTGTTATAAATTCTAAAATACAATTTTGAAAGTGTAACCACAAGATCATACACAAAGCTAATATGAGAATATCAGTTACTAACCTTCTCGGTGCAAAGTATATAGCTTCACATTTCAGCTTTAAACCATTTGGTGCACTTGCCCCTTAGATGCTCATTGTAAATGCATTACTGTAAACAACATTTGTATTTTTACAAGATGAAGGGCAAGTCCAAATGATTTTCTGTGGTAACTGGGTTATGGAACAGGTGGAGTTATGAACCACGTTCCGAGGCACTGCACACTGTGATATTCAACAATGGCTGATGGGAAATTGACAGTAGTTACTTAATCTAGCCAATCTGTGTCTTTCGATCTGAAATCATTAAATGACACAGACATTTTAAAAGTGAAGCGCTTTGCTTTTCATTGTCACTGACGCAGCTTGAATTTGTCAAACACGAAGCAATACTAGCACAGTTCTCTGGTCATGTTAACCTATGACCTTCATGACTATTTGTGAACTATGATTTTTAAATTATGACTCTGTCCACTTAGTGCAAAGGATGCTGACCGCTGAAGCCAAGCCCCACACGTATGACGCCTTGCAAAAGTATTCAGACCATGACCCAATTCGCAAATTATAATGAACTGCAAATCCTGCGTATGAAGGTGGTGTGTATCTTGCACAAAACAGATTTTGAAAAAATAATGAATTTTCATTCTTTTTGCCTGCTATTGTTCAAGCAAACAGATATATCTGTCTGCTATATCTGGCCCAGACAGACTTCTCAAACAGATTGCACTTCCATTTGGTGCTGGTACTAGTGCAGAAGTCCTTTAATTTTTTCTAAATGCTCTAATTCACTACAGGATATAAAACTTAAATAATAAGAAAATATTCTTAGATATTATATTATATTAAGAAAATATTCTTAAAATTAATTGTTCACAAAATATTTAAGCCACTTAAAATGCAACTGTCCATGGAAGATGATTTCTGCCATGGAATTAAAAATAAATAAATAAAAATGCTAACTGTGACTTTTTATTTCACAATTTTTTTGAGAAAAAGTGAGAACTGTGAGATACAAACTCAGAATAGCAAGAAGTCAGAATTGTGAGAATAAAAGTCAGAATTTCAAACTTTCAGCATGTTGCTATGCATTTGGGTTGCTTTAGGTTGTTGCAAGGTTCTGTGTGGTTGCATGAGCCCATCACCAACTGATATTCTTTTTTAGTCTGCTAAAAACTGCCGAAGCAGGACATTCAGCATTAGCTGAAGAACAGAGAGCTGAATGTCCTGGAATGGCACAGTTATAGCACTGACGTCACAATCTGTGGCACTACTGGAACATTGTAATGCAGAAGGAACATCTGACTAATCTCAAACAACCTGGAGCTAAATGACATCTGGACAGTGCGTTCATGCATTCATACTCCAAAAGTCTGAAAGCTATCATTGCTGCAAAGGATGGCTCTACATGGATGGCTTTTTTTCTAAATGCATATTATAGATATTATTGTTACAATTCATACGTGCATGTTTCATTTTTATCAATTTTTTATTTATTTATTTTGACCAGGAAACTTAACATTTAATATTTGACAACCGTTCAAATATCCAGTGATGCAAACTACTTTTTACAAATTTTGCCGTTCTGATTCGAAAATCTTTGTGATTCATGCAATTCATAATCAAATAAGAAGAGATGAGAAATATTTCTCTGTTTTGCATTTTCAACAAATTTTCAACATATTAGGCATGTGAATAAGATTAAATGTTTAAAAATATTCTTGTTCTTTTACGGTTCTTCTTTCTTCTACATCCCCCATTCAGTTCAATTCTTTTATAAAAAAGACTATACCATTCGGGTATTTTAAAGCTATTAACATTAGGTTCAAGACATGGCTATAGACTTTGACAATGATATTATGGTCCCTAAATGTGGCTCAAGTCCCTCCTTCAATGCAAGTCTATGAGATTTTCTTGCCTGTTTTTGTAATTAAAATCCCTTTGAAACAAGCCGCATGATTTGAGGTATCTTTCCTGCTTGTAGCACAAACAGTGAGCGTTCTAAATAAATAAATAACTGCAAAATGTGTACCTTTAGGGGAGCAACAGCTTGTCACTGGGGCAGAACCCTCAAAGGGACACATTTGTACCTTCTTTTCCTCTAAAGGGTGCATATCAGTACCTTGGAGTTATAAAATATAACCTTAAGATAGTAATATGTACTCTTAAGGGCATATTATGAACCCTTTAGGGGTAAAGAAGGTACAAATGTGTCCCTTTGAGGGTTCTGCCCCAGTGACAATCTGTTGCTCCCCTAAAGTTAAAATTTTTGCACACTTTTTTTTTGACAGTGTGGGATGAGTT